CCCCAAAATAATAATAATAAAAATAATAATCATCATCATCATCATTGCAGTTATTTATATAATGCTTGCCATATGTCAGACATTTGAAATACTTGATCATTATTAATTTACTTAATCCTGACAAAAAGTACATGCTATTATTATTCCTATTTTTCATGTAAATAAAGCAAAAAAGATATAATGTGATTCTCCTATGGTCAAATAACTAATAAGGTAGAAATGAGATTTGAAGCTACAACTATGACTCAGCTTAAAGCCCCCCAGTCTAAACTATACTGCCTTTATCCTTCTTTCAGATATATATTTTTTATACTAAATTTTCTTCCCAATGAGTTGATCTTCTAGTTGCTTTAAAACTGATCAGTAGGTGATAAACTTTTGTCTTTTGAATATCTGAAAATAGCTTTTATATAGCTGAGTATTGGTTGTAGTTCAAAATTTTTTCCCTAAATAATTTGAAGATATAACAGCTATCTCTCTGCATTAATTTTGCCCATGAGAAATTTGTTATCAAACTAATTTTTAATTCCTCTTTTTAGGTAATCTCTTTCTTTCCCTTTGGAAGTTGGTTTTCTGAATTTTTCTAACTATTTGTTTCTGGCTGCACTATATATGGTCTTTGGACAGCAACACTAGTTATTACCTAAAAGCCTATAGGAAATATAGAACCTTGGACCCAACCCCCCAGATCTTGTGAATCAGAATGTTCATTTTAACTAGATTCTTATATAATTTATTTGCATTCTAAATCTTTAAGATTATTTGAACATTAATGTTTGAAAGTAATAATCTCAGACAAGTCTTCTTCTTTAGTGAAATATCTCAACCATGTAGAAGAACAGAAAGAATAATATAATGAAGACCCAAATACCCATAACTTAGGCTTAACAGCTCATGAAGAAAGTAAATTACAAACATGATGATATTGCATCCCTATGTTCTTTAGTATTCATCTCTAAAAGCAGAGGGCATTTGTCTAACTAAATTCACAATAATTACTTAACGTCTTTAGGTAGGTCTCTATACAATGTGTTCCACATCGTATTTGGAGATATCTTTTTTTAAAAAAGAGAAAGATTTCTTTTTTTAAGAGAGAGAGAGACAGTTTTTTAATATTTATTTTTTAGTTTTCAGTGGACACAACATCTTTATTTTATTTTTATGTGGTACTGAGGATCGAACCCAGCGCCCCGCACATGCCAGGCAAATGCGCTACTGCTTGAGCCACATCCCCAGCCCTGGAGAGATCTTTTAATCAGAGAATTGTTATAGGTACTTTTTCAGCTCTTGGTTATACCTTTTAAAGATTTTAGTATACTTTATCTCTCCAACCCTCTCTTATTATGTCCTTTTTAACTCTCTCCTCTGTGCCTATTAAGATATATGAGTATATGTATTTTATTTGTTTATTGTTTTGTAGTCCATACTAGAAAATTCTGTGCTCCATCCTCCAGCTTATTAACTTATTCTTCAGGTATGCCCATATCACTTATTTTTTTATTTTGACAATTTATTGTTTGTTTCGAAGGATTATGATTAAAATTTATGAAAAAGCACAATTTATAATAGCTAAGCTATAGAACCAATCTAGATGCCCACCCACAGATGAATGGATAAAAAATTATGGTATATATACACAGAGGAGTATCACTCAGCCATAAAGAAGAATGACTTTATGATAGTCTTTGGTAAATGGGTGGATCTGGAGACTCTCATGCTCAGTGAAATAAGCCAATCCCCAAAAAATCAAAGGTCGAATATTCTTTCTGATATGTGGATGCTAACCCAGAATAAAGCATGGAGGGAAAAGAAAAGTTCAGTGGAAGAGAAAGGGGAATGAAGGGAAGGGAGTGGGAATAGGAATAAGAAAGACAGTGAAATGAATCTGACATAACTTTCCTGTGTACATATATGAATACAACATGGTGAATCCCAACACTGTGCACATTCCACAAGACTGGGATGCTAATTAGAATACAATATATTTAATGCTTACATCAATACATCAAAATAGATTCTACTGTCATGTATAACTAAAAAGAATAAACATTTTTTAAATGTAAAAAAAATTATGACTAGATTCAGTATACTTTCATTATTCTGAGGATATTTACATTTATTCTAAAGTCTTGTTCTGGTTTATCTTCTATTCCCCTTCTTGGTCTATTCCCTAAAGACCTAAAAAGAGCATGCTACAGGGACACTGCTACATCGATGTTCATAGCAGCACAGTTCACAATAGCAAGACTGTGGAACCAACCTAGATGCCCTTCAATAGACGAATGGATAAAAAAAATGTGGCATTTATACACAATGGAGTATTACTCTGCATTAAAAAATGACAAAATCATAGAATTTGCAGGGAAATGGATGGCATTAGAGCAGATTATGCTAAGTGAAGCTAGCCAATTCCTAAAAAACAAATGCCAAATGTCTTCTTTGATATAAGGAGAGTAACTAAGATCAGAGTAGGGACGAAGAGCAGGAGAAGAAGATTAACATTTAACAGGGATGAGAGGTGGGAGGGAAAGGGAGAGAGAAGGGAAATTGCATGGAAATGGAAGGAGACCCTCAGGGTTATACATTGGAGGGGGTAGAGAGAGAGGAGGGGAGGGGAGGGGAGAGGTGGGGAGGGGGGAGGGGGGAGGATGGGAAAGGCAGCGGAGCACAACAGACACTAGTATGGCAATATGTAAATCAATGGATGTGTAACTGATGTGATTCTGCAATCTGTGTATGGGGGGAAGGTGGGAGTTCATAACCCACTTGAATCAAAGTGTGGAATATGATATGTCAAGAAATTTGTAATGTTTTGAACAACCAACAATAAAAAATTAAAAAAAAATACAAAAAAAAATAAAAAAATAAAGTATATCTCTTAAACAAGATATAAATTTTTCCACTTATTAAAAATAATACTTCAATTCAGAGTGTTGTCTTTCCTCTTAATATTTGGTGATATTTTAATGGGTGCTTACATGTGTGTTTGAGACTTTGCGTTAACTTGTGGTTACCCTCTGTGCTATTGCCATCTTACAGAGAATAGGCCAATTCTGCTACCAAGAGATAACTAAACTTCCTGAAGCAAAGGCTGAGATTAGGATTCTTATGCAAGTTATTTTTTGAGGAAACCAGTGAAGGAAATGAAGGAAGCCAGATAGGACTGGGGAAAATCAAATGGTCCCAAACTTTGCTACACATTAAAATCACCTGGGGAACTTTTAAAAGTTACAGCTTTTAGAGGAGTGATGTCAGCAGAATAGGAAGCCCCAGGCTCTCCTTTACCCACAAAGACACCAACTTCACAACAATATATGGACCACATTGCTCTTGTGAGAACTCCAGAAGCCACTTGAGGGGTTACAGTGTCCCAAGCAAATGCAAAACTGAGAAGAGATGAATTGGAGAGGTTAGGAAATTCTGGTGTGTTTAACCACCATAACCCATTCGCCTCCCTGAACAGCTTGGAACAATTGGGAGAAAACTCTCACCTCCCAGTTTCTCCCTGAAGAGGGAAAGAGAAAGGTGGAACATGCGACCTATGTTTTGACTTTTCAGGGGATGTCCAAGAGATTGATTTCTATATCACTGACTGGGAGCACTGATGGAAAAGGAAGTGAAACACTTTGGATACCTGAGGTCCACTGTAAACAAAGGTAAGTCCTGAAAGTTACTAGAGCACCAGGGAGATTACAGGTCCACAAAGAAACATGAGGGGACGCTCCAGAGTAAAACAAAGGTGACTTCTTCAGCTGAGAGATAACACACGCAAGACCAGAGAACATGCTTCCCCAGATAGATTTATGAGGTCCCCACAAGTTATAAATGGACTGATCGGTCAAGTTCTTTATCTCCAAAAAGACTGTCCGTAAAGGCTGGGAGAGGTAGCTGTTTTCCAAAATGCCCAAATTTCAAAAGAGACAACAAGGCATACAAAGAAAAAGGGATTCACAGCTCAATCAAAGCAATGAATTTCCAGAAACCAACTAATCAAAATAATCATCATAAAAGTCCTCAATGAACTATAAAAGAGAATACACACAGACAACTAAATGAAATCAGAAAGGGTACATGAACAAAATTAGAATACCAACAAAGAGATAGAGCCATAAAAAAGAGCCATACAGAAACTCTGGAGCTGAAAAAAAATAGTAACTGAATTTAAAAATACACTAAATGGGATCCGCAAACTACTGGATCAAGCAGAAGAATTGATGAACTTGAAGACATATCATTTGAAATTATCAAGTTGAAGAAGCAAAAAGAAAAATAAATGAAAAAGAAGAAAAATAGAGCCTAAGGGGCTTATGGAATGCCACTGAAACTTGTAAATCTTCAATAATAAAAGCAAGCAGTGTGGTACTGACATAGACACATAGATCAGTGGAACAGAATAGAGCCCAGAATCAAGCCCTCATAAATAGGAAAATGTGATCTTTGACAAGGGTGGTAGGAATGGTGTGGAAGGTAGATTTGCTTGGCTGTTCTTACAGTGGTAATTCAAATAATCACTTGGTCTCTTCATAGATCTTCCTGCTCCAGCATCTACCTATTCTGGCCTTGGAGCACCTTTAAAAGTACACCATATCTTTGGTAGCAGTCTTTGTTTATATACATTTTGGCTTATGGTTTCCTTTTTAAATCCTAAATTGTATCTTACCTTGCTGGAATATGTGTAGTTTTGTGTCCATTTAGGAGTCCCCTTTTGTTTTCTAGTTGGGTTATGGATTTTCATATTATGTTTATATCTTCACATGAAAGAATTTATGGACAGAGGGAGAACTGCAATTTGTGCTCAATCCAGTATCTCTAGAAAATTTTAACCAGCACTAAAGATCTCATGGACCGTTTTATCACCATTAAGTGATTTTCATTCAAAAGCAAGAGGTTTTTTTTTCATATGAAATTGTTAGAAAGGTTAATATATTTCTTGTAAAGTTTACATAAAACACTTGTTAAAAGCACATTTTAAAAACTGGTTTTCAAAGTCTTTCTTTCAGTTTTGTACTAGGTGCTGTCTCTCCTGCTGTTGTTGTTCCTTCCATGCTGCTTTTGCAAGAAAAGGGATATGGCATTGAGAAAGGCATCCCAACCTTACTAATAGCTGCTAGCAGTTTGGATGACATCGTGGCTATCACTGGGTTCAACACGTTCTTGAGCATAGTCTTCTCTTCAGGTAAACAACACAGCAACTGCCGTGGCATTCCCATCTTTTTTTTTTTTTTTTTTTTTGTATTCCTTTAAGCAGACTTTCTGACTTTACTTCTTCATTTATTAACCAAGACTTTTCAGTCTCACATCTTTTATATTCTTTGTAGAAAGTTCATTCTAACCCAAGGAAGAAATTTCAGTGATTTGAAAAACTACTACTTAACAAAAGATTTCAGTTAATTTCATAATCCATATTATTACTATTTATCTGCTTGTGATGCTTTGGAATTTCATGATCGTTTTCATTAAGAAAAAGTTAATCAGCAGTATTATTACTACTACTAATATCTTAATAGGTATTTTTAAAATGTAACTTTTTATCATTCTAATAAATCATTAGTTCTACTATTAAGACAATTTAAACATAAAAACCCAGGACAACCATGTGCCTTGTTTGGTAATGATGGGACAAGATCCTACTACACAGTTCTGATTCCCAGGGTGGTATCAGGTCTCAAAGGTTACTGCAGAAGCGTGAAAGTAAGCATTTGTACATTTATTATGCTTTAATTATCTATAGTGTTTGAAATTCAGTCTTTTGTATTACTGAAACATTAAAATATGTTTTATGTTAAAAAGTAATAAAGAGCTGAAGTTATAGTGCTGTATGAAGTTATAGTGCTATAATCTCAGCTATTTAGGAAGCTAGGGCAGGAAGGCCATTTAAGCTCAGGAGTTCAAGGCCAGCCTAAACAACACAGTAAGATGCTCTCAAAAAAATAGTAATAATAATCAAATAATATAAATAAACAGGGAGAAAAAATATAGATTAAAAATTTTTCCTTCTGACCTTTTGATGTAAAACTACCCAGACTTCTCCCTTCACTTCTGTTCTGTTCTCTTCTTTCCCTGTTTTGCCCTTCCAGTATTTTCATAAAAGTTATTGAACACTGATAATACATTCTTGTCATCTGAGTTGTTTTTCAGTTAACTATATTATTACAAGCATGTTTCTTTTCATAGAGAATATATAATATATGTATTTTCATGTCCTTTTAATGGTTACATAATATTCAGTGGCCTGCATCAGAATTATTTAACCTATTCAAAATAGAAATTGACTCCCATATTTACCATTAAAATAATGCTTGGTACTTAATCTTAAAATTTCTTAATCTTAAAGTGAAATTGTTGGTATAAAAATGTATATAGTTATAACCTTTTTGAAACAAATTGCTAATATGTCCTACTACCCACATAGGCTTGCCATTTTGTCTTTTCAAAACTAAGTATTAGAGCCAACTATAGTGGCATGCACCTCTAGAGTCAGCTACTTGGGAGGGTAAGGCAGGAAAATCACTTGAACTTGGGAGTTTGAGGCCAATCTGGATACAATAAGGAGATACTATCTTTAAAAAATAATATATAGTACTAGTCTTTTCCATTTTTGCTAATTTGACAGGTGATAGGTGAAAGAAGGATCTCTTTAAATAAGTACTTTAAATACTTTATGTACTGGTGGTATTAGACAAATGTTTATATTTATTGGTCATTAGCATTTTAGAATGTTTTGTAAATTGCTTTTTCTGAAAATTTTTTGCCTATTTCTTATAGATGTGGTCATCTTTTGTTCTTGTTGATGTATCAAGATTTGGCATAAGTAGAGCACTGTGGTGCAAGCCTCTAATCCCAGCTACTTGGGAGACCTGGGCAGGAAGACCAAAAGTTCAAGGCTACCCTCAGGAACTTAGCAAGACTCTGTCTCAAAATACAAAAATTTTTTAAATTTGGAGATGTGGCTTAATAGTAGAGTGCCCCTGGGTTCAAACCTCAGTAACACACACACACACACACACATTCTGCATAAAACATAAAACCTTTGTTTTATATGCTATAGTTTTCCTATTTATTGTTTTATATGCTATAGTTTTCCTATTTATAGCATGTCATTCAGATATTATAAATTTTTAATTGTGAATTCTGGCAATATTTTTTCATGATTTGTATCAGCCATTCCTTCTAAAAATATTTTTTTGTGTTCCTCTTCCATTATGTTAATTACTGTGCCAAATACTGAGGATAAACAGTGAACAACAATATTTGTTTCTATTGAGAACTTTCTTAGTATTTGTAAGTTCCATATTTCCACTTATTTACAGGTAAGGAAATGAAAGAACAGAGGTTAGGTAACTTACTCAAGGTCACAGATCTACTAGGTGAGTGAGCCAAGATATAAATCTAGTGGTCTGATTCCAGAGTAACACCTATTCTGTGCTATACTATACTGTCTCCTGACAGCAAATAGACATGTCCATGTTCTGAAGAAACTTATCTTTAAAAATATATTGCAAATATGATAAATAATATGTAGTATAGGGTGCTGGAGGAACATATCATAGGAGTCCAAACCTAATTTGTAGAGAACTAAAAACCATGAAAAACCAAGCAGATACGTGTTTAAACATTCCTTTTCAACTTTATGACTTTTTAAGGACTTTGAAGGTTTTATTTTATTTTTTACATTAAATCTTCAGTACAATAATATTTTGAAACATGGCAGATATTGAGATCTAACTTTATTTTTAGCCAATATTACACAGTAGTTTCAACTTGTTGAATATTATGTCTCTCAATTTAAGGAAATGTTATTGCAGGGTGACCAGCACCCCCCAGGGTAGATTCCTGCTTAGGAGGTATGAGCTACCTGGGAAAATAAAAATAAAAAATCTGAAATAATTAGTGCTGGGAGCCATTAGCCAAGTAGGTATGACAATTTCCTTGCCAGCGTACCCCATGTTGCAGTGACATTGAATGTAGGTGACCTTGCTCAAGGACCAAGGCGGATTAGGGCGTTCCCGGTTTAAGGTTTAAGATTATTCCTGCTGGGAATAGGGCGTATCCTGCTGCCTGAGTTCCCCTTGAGTTCTCACGGGATTCAGACAGTATATTTTGGAGATAGAAGCCCAGTGGAGGTGGATTTGGGCAGAGAACGTGGATTTCCCCAGAACGTGATTGTAGACGGCTGGTGTGAGTTCGGGAATAAAGAGTTGCTGTTTGAATCTACAAGCTGTGTGGTGGCTCGTGATTGTGTGCCCAGCCAGACTGCGGCATTTGTGCCCAGCCAGACTGCGGCAAATTAGTAAGAAACAGAGACAGAGCTAGAAATTATATATAAAAAGCAGAGTGTCTAATAAGTCTTCCAGTCCTGATAGGATCTGCAACTGAACAACTGAAAAAAGCCTCTGATTCTTTAAGGGGGGAGTACATCAAAAGCAGGGATAAGGTTTCAGCAGGCAGAGTCTTAGGTGCTTGCTTTTAGTGTGCCAAGGGTCTTGCAGTAAATAGGTTGATTGGCGTTTTGGCAAGCCACGCCCATCTCCAAGAGACTGTGTGGCTCCAGTAGGTCACCCCATCTTTGATGCTGTGTTAAACTTGGGATGGAGCTAGTCAGGACGTCACGTGAACCAGGTGTTCTCAAACCAGCAGGGTTGCTGCTGGGAGTTCCTGATGCCAGGCTTTCCTGCCTAATAGCTTCAACATCATTTTAGTTCACGCACAGTTCATTGATGGCTTCCCACAAAATGTCACCTTTATCATACTGACCCTCCTAAAAAAACACCAAGTTGGTTTATTTCAATTTTTCACAATTCTATTTTTTATTGTGGTAAAAACACACATTTATCCTTTTAACCGTTTTAAGTGTATAGTTCAACATTGTTAACTGTATTCACATGTTGTGTAGTGGATCTCTAAAACTTTTTCATCTTGCAAAAGTGAAACTTTATATCCATTTAACAACTCCATTTTCCCTTCCCCCAGGCACTGGAAACCACTGTTCTACTTTGTTACCATGATTCTGACAAATTACACAAGTGGAATAAGTGACTGACTCATTTCAGTTACCTAATGTCCTAAGGTTCATCCATGTTGTAGTATGCAATTTCTTCTTTCTCATAACTGACCAATATTTCATAGAATATTTATACCACATTTTCTTAACTCATTCATCTGTCAATGGACATTTGGGATATTTCTACCCCTTTGCTATTGTGAATAATCCTTCAGTAAACATGAGTATGCACATATTTTCTCAAAAGCCTGCTTTTTGTTCTTTTGGTTGTGTACCCAGAAATGGAACCTCCAAACTATTTTTTGTAGTAGCCACTGCACAGTTTTACATTTCCACCAACAATGTACAAGGGCTCCAATTGTTATTTCGTATATATTGGTTATCCTAATGTATGAGTGGTAACATCTTATTTTGGTTTTGATTTGTGTTTTTAATAATTGCAGATGTTGAGTATCTTTTCATGTTTATTGGATATTTATATATATATATATATATATATATATATATTTTAATCTTGACTTTTTAATCTATTCAGTCAATTATATCTTTTGATTGTGGAATTAATTAATTCATTAGCATCCAAAGTGATTAATACTGGAGAAAGACATACCTTTGCCATTTTATTAATTGATTTCTCTTTCTTGTACCTATTTCATCCCTCTTTTCCTCTCTTGCTTCCTTACTTTGTGTTTCATTGTTATGTTTTGTTTTTGTAATGACATGTTCTGATTTTCCTCTTTCATTTGTGTATCTTCCATAGGTACTTTATTTGTGGTTATTTTATAATTATAGAAAACATCTTACGATTATAACAATCTATTTTAAACTGATAACAGTATAATTTCAATAATATGTAAAAAGTCTACATTTATTTCCCTGCATTTTATGTTATTGATTAACCTATTATATCTTTTTACATTGTATGGTCATTCACATAGTTTAAAAGTTATTTTTTTCATTTTATCTTTTAAATTCTATAACTGAATTAAAAATTCTTTACTTGCCACCATGACAGTATTAGGATTTTATATTTATTTATATATTTACCTTTAATATAAGAGTTTATATTTTGTAAGCTTGGGTATTGTCTAATATTATTTTATTTCCACTAGAAGGACTCCCTTACCATTTCCTGTAAGGCAGCTCTATTAGTGATGAAATTTCTGTTTTTATTT